ACACACACACACACACACACACACACACACACACACACACACACACACACACACTCATTCCTGTGGTGTCACCAAGTTCCCGAATCCGGGCATTTCCTGGAGTGCTCGCCACAACTCCCTTCTTGGTGCTTTTCTACTGTACGGAGCCCGGGGAGGCCTTGTTTTAAATATCGCTGTGACGTCACACCCCCTCCTCAGAGCCAAGAACCCTCGGGTGGGCCCAGGGTCAGGGAGGGGATGGGGGTCGGGAGGCGGGACGACCGACAGTTCCACCATACATCCATTACTGCTGTCGCCTACGGGGCGTTTCTGCCAATTGAGTTAAGGGTTGTAGGGAAGACGGGTGATTAAACTACCCTGTGGAGCAGAAAAAAAGGGGCATCAAAAACTTTAACCCGGAAATAAAAAACTTTAGCCCATTCCCTTACCCCCCCAAAAAAGATTTCATATCTGAGCTTTAATGTCCACATAACGCCGCTAGCAGCAATAATAAGTACTTGAAATATAATCAAGCCGTTTACTGGAGGTTTGCTTCCGAGTGAGCTTATAAACACAAATGCAAATGTCTTTTCCTGGCGAATGTCCAGAGCTAAACCGGTGGAAAGTTGATCTTTATAAAGCTGTACCCCTTCATTTTATTTTCGCATGCCAGATACTAATTTCACAACGGCAACTTTTATACCCAAAGCGGGGAGTCCAGAACACAACTGCTATTCGATTTGCAATTTACATAACAAGCTGTTTACACTTCTCCGGACTGACGGAGAGAGGGAAGGAGGGGAGGGACAGCAGAGCACGACTGTCTATTGCAAAACCAGGACCCACTGGCGTTTCCCACTTTCGGAAAACAAACGAGTCGCTGTTGCTGCGTGCGTCCCCGCGCACAGCGAGTGGTAGAAACGCGCTTTAAGAGACCGAGTCCACCAAATGCTGAGGTGTTTAGGGAGTCCACTTACTTAACTGTTCTCCAGGCTGAAACTAGAGCGCCCCATAAAGCCTTAGCCAAAAGGGCTGATTAAGCCTGGGTATAGGGCTGGGGGTTGGACACGAATTCATTTTTCAAGTCTTGGGGTTTCTCCCCCGTCGTTTCCCTGCAAGTGTTTAGGAACCACCAAGTACTGAGCCTCCTGCTGAAAAAAAATCAAGTGTTCTTCCAACCCGTCTGTGACTGGGCCTTACGAATTCTCTGGAAAAGGAGTTTCATGGGGCCCAAGCGCACAGCAGGCCAGGAAGCAGCAGCCTCATGAATCAGAACTTCCGGGCAACCCCCTAGGCTAGTTCTAGAAGTAGCAGGTCCTCCTCTTTTCTCCATGAAATGTACATTTTTGAAAACAATATATATTTTTAATGTTCAAGTGACACGGAGATCTGCCTACTACTCAAGTCAGCACCCCTGACATCTAACAACTGAAGCTGAAATTAGGATTTTTGTGCAGAGTGAGGAAGCCGAGTTTCCAGCGGGGAAACCAAAAGGGGCTCCCAACACGTTCTTGCAGTTAAAGATTGTCAGAAAATTTGGGAGTGGAAGTGTTAAATGCGACACGCTCCTCTTCTTCACAGTTTCCTAAACTCGCCAGTTCCCCCCAGCTTCTGGTAAAGGATCTAGTGTTCAGTCTCCAGGAGGGTCTTTTCTGGAGTTGCCCAAGTGCAGGATCGCGCTGCAGGAGAAAGGAGGCCCCTCTCTTTCCTGCTTCTTCGTTTCTTTCCCTCTCATTTCTCTTCTTCCCATCTCACCCCAGTCACCCAGAAACTTCAAATCTCAGGAGTATGCACAAGGAAGGATACACCTTCTGTGCTTATCGCCCCCCACCCCCCAAGTCCTTGAACCGCCCTGCAGGTGCGATTCTGAACATTTCCCCCAAACAACCATTATCTCTGCGAGCCGGCAGCCCCGCGCGTGTGGAGATGGAGATTGGACTGGGACTCGTTAAGCTCTTGGACGTATTTATTTGCTTCTTGTCATCACACCTGTTAATGTCACTGAGCCCGCAGCCTGACCCCTCCTCTGAGCCAAAACACGCCGTGCTCGACAAGAGAGGATGGTGCATGGCCAACCTGAGGGACCTCGCATGCTTCCCGAAGGGCCGCGTGGGGAGCCTCCTGGCTCCAGAAGCCCGCTCCGCAAGCACCCTTAGGCAGCCAAGGGTCCCGGGTGGGGGCCGCGGAGCAAGGGCGTCCCTTAGTGGGGCGGGCACAGCCTACCTGGGCGAACCACCGCCCGAAGCTCCTGGCGAAGCCCCACATCCTCTCCCTTATTTCTACTGGGGAGGGGTCACGGGGACGGCGAGGTGGGGGCGACAACTCCTTCCCCACCAGGAACAGAGCAAGGCTGTGGCTGAGCCCTTAAAACTATGGCCTTTGTAACACAATTCAGGACAGGAGAACCTCCAGGTGGGGAAAACTGGAGACATCTGTGAAACCGGTGAATTGGGCGTTCGGGAGGGGAGGGAAGAAATGGAAAGAGAGGAAAGGTGAAGGGAAAAGGAGGAGGGGCCCGGGAAATCCCGGAGCTGGAGCCAGCTAAATCGGCCTAGGAATGGGAGCTCCAGGAGTCAGTGACATCTGGGAGCGGTGGACAGAGGAAAGGTCTGCGTGGGGCCCAGGAGGACCCAAGAGGTTCGCGGGAACAATGGACGTCGGTGCGGAGGGCTCAGGATGGGACACGGTGCCGGGCGCCGGCGGCTGGCGGGTGGCCGCAGGGTTGCGAACCGACTGCGAGCGCCGGCCCGGCGCCGGCAGGGGCGCGGGCACGGGCGCGGGACCCCGCGGCCGGCTCGCGTGTGGTCAGCCCCGCGGTTCTACCGCGCCTGGGCGCCGGCCGTCAGGGCTTGGCCTCCGGTTCATTCAGAGGCGGTTCTCACCTCCCATTGGTTGCTGCTGCTGCGGTGGGGCGGGGCTCCGTTGCCCGGAAAAAATGTAACTGCGTAAAAAAGTCCTCGCCTGGGTGACGGATGCTCAAAAGTTCTGAAGTTTTCCAATGCTTCCTTAAGCCGCCGGCGCGCGAAAGACTGAAAAAAAGGTGACGCGGGGCCCGGGAAGGCGGCCGGCGCGGCCCCTGCCCTGGTGATCTGGCCGCCTTCGCTGGCGGCTCGGGGCAGTCTCCTGGAAGGCGCAGACAGTGTGGCGAGAAGAGCGACTTCTTGTTTTTTAGTTTTGGCTCTTTTTTCCCGTTCTCGCCTGGAAGTGGCTCCGCGAGTTCCTCCAAGGCGGTCTGCGGCGTCCCGGGCCAGCCCTGTTCCCTAGCACCGACCCTCCTTCGCGGCTGGCGCGGGCCCCGAAGTGGCCAGAGGAGCCCCAGGAGCCCGAGCGAGCGCAGGGAGAGGCCGCGCGTGGCCCGCGGCTCCGGGAAGCGGCGGCGGCCCGGCACCAGCTCCGCGGGGCCCGGACTCGGACTGGGCGGCCGGCGCTGCGCGGCCGACCTGAGCGAGGGTGGGGGGCAGCGGGCGGCGCGGGGCTGCGGCGGCGAGCGGGGGCCATGCAGGCGCGCTACTCCGTGTCCAGCCCCAACTCCCTGGGAGTGGTGCCCTACCTCGGCGGCGAGCAGAGCTACTACCGCGCGGCCGCGGCTGCGGCCGGGGGCGGCTACAGCGCCATGCCGGCCCCCATGAGCGTGTACTCGCACCCAGCACACGCCGAGCAGTACGCGGGCGGCATGGCCCGCGCCTACGGGCCCTACACGCCGCAGCCGCAGCCCAAGGACATGGTGAAGCCGCCCTACAGCTACATCGCGCTCATCACCATGGCCATCCAGAACGCCCCAGACAAGAAGATCACCCTGAACGGCATCTACCAGTTCATCATGGACCGCTTCCCTTTCTACCGGGACAATAAGCAGGGCTGGCAGAACAGCATTCGCCACAACCTCTCGCTCAACGAGTGCTTCGTCAAGGTGCCCCGCGACGACAAGAAACCGGGCAAGGGCAGCTACTGGACGCTGGACCCGGACTCGTACAACATGTTCGAGAACGGCAGCTTCCTTCGGCGGCGGCGGCGCTTCAAGAAGAAGGACGCCGTGAAGGACAAGGAGGACAAGGACAGGCTGCACCTCAAGGAGCCGCCGCCGGGCCGCCAGCCTCCGCCCCCGCCGCCGGAGCAGACTGACGGCGCCGCGCCGGGACCGCCGCCGCCGCCGGTGCGCATCCAGGACATCAAAACCGAGAACGGTACGTGCCCCTCGCCGCCCCAGCCCCTGTCCCCGGCCGCCGCCCTGGGCAGCGGCAGCGCTGCCGCGGTGCCCAAAATCGAAAGCCCTGACAGCAGCAGCAGCAGCCTGTCCAGCGGGAGCAGCCCCCCGGGCAGCCTGCCGTCTGCGCGGCCGTTGAGCTTGGACGCCGCGGAGCCCGCGCCGCCCGCGCCGCCCGCCGCACAGCCCGCGCCGCCGCCGCACCACAGCCAGGGCTTCAGCGTGGACAACATCATGACGTCCTTGCGGGGATCGCCGCAGGGCGCAGCCGGCGAGCTAGGCTCGGGCCTTCTGGCCTCGGCGGCCGGGTCCTCGCGCGCGGGCATCGCACCCCCGCTAGCGCTTGGCGCCTACTCGCCCGGCCAGAGCTCCCTCTACAGCTCCCCCTGCAGCCAGAGCTCCAGCGCCGGCAGCTCGGGCGGGGGCGGCAGCGGCGGCGGCGGCGCTGGGGGCTCCGGGACCTACCACTGCAACCTGCAGGCCATGAGCTTGTATGCGGCTGGGGAGCGTGGCGGCCACTTGCAGGGCGCTCCTGCGGGCGCCGGCGGCTCCGCCGTGGACGACCCTCTGCCCGACTACTCTCTGCCCCCGGTCACCAGCAGCAGCTCCTCCTCCCTGAGCCACGGCGCCGGCGGCGGCCAGGAGGCCGGCCACCACCCTGCGGCCCACCAAGGCCGCCTCACCTCGTGGTACCTGAATCAGGCGGGCGGAGATCTGGGCCACCTGGCTAGCGCGGCGGCGGCGGCCGCGGCGGCGGGTTACCCGAGCCAGCAGCAGAACTTCCACTCCGTGCGAGAGATGTTCGAGTCGCAGAGGATCGGCTTGAACAACTCTCCGGTGAACGGGAATAGTAGCTGTCAGATGGCCTTTCCTTCCAGCCAGTCTCTGTACCGCACCTCCGGGGCTTTCGTCTATGACTGTAGCAAGTTTTGACACCCCCGCCCCCTCAGAACCGAACTGAATCGAACCCCAAAGCAGGAACCGTCCAAAGAATCATCAATGCAAAATCGAAACCAAAAAAATGCAATTTAAAAAATCTTGAAAAACAGCGCACAGAATCCCTCCAAAAGTTCAACTCACCAGCACAAAGAAAACTATTTTCTTAAAAGATTTATTCAGAGCCACCTCTACTTTGCCTTATCTAAATAAACAAAACCGTAAACCATTTTACACAGAGACAGCAAAATCATGGTTTATTAAAGGACAGTGTTACTGCAGATAACACGTAAGTTTCTTCTTGCTTTTCAGAGAGCACGCTTTCCTTTTCCTCGCTCCCATCCCCTCACCCTTGTCCTTCCGTCACCTCTCACCTGTAAGATATTATTTTATCCTATGTTGAAAGGAGGGGAAAGTCCCTGTATATGAAAATCGCTTTCTTTTTATTCATGGACTTGTTTTAAAATGTAAATTTCAACATAGTAATTTATTTTTAATTTGTAGTTGGATGTCGTGGACCAAACGCCAGAAAGTGTTTCCAAAACCTGACGTTAAATTGCCTGAAACTTAAATTGTGCTTTTTTCATTATAAAAAGGGAAACTGTATTAATCTTATTCTATCATCTTTTCTTTCTTTTTGTTGAACATATTCATTGTTTGTTTATTAATAAATTACCATTCAGTTTGAATGAGACCTATATGTCTGGATACTTTAATACAGCCTTAGTTTTTATGAGGAAAAAAAAAGGTTTCAGAGATTAAAACACTAGACATTACCTATTCTCCTAAATCTCTGAAAAATGGAGAAACCCTCTGACTATTCCCTGTCAAATTTCACATAAAAGTCTCTTTTTTGTTTAGTCTTTTTTCCTGCAGCATCTTCTGCAAAATGTACTATATAGTCAGCTTGCTTTGTGGCTAGTGAAAACATTATTTTCCTAAACAGATCTGAGTTGGCACATACACCAATATATTTTCTTAGTAACGACAGAATATGATTTGAAAATTGTAAGCACATGAATCAGCAGCGGTCTTTACCACAGTGATACCTGTGTGTAGAGAGATGTGAATGTGCCTCCAAATATACACAGCTGAATATTCGGCTTGTGTAGCACATAAACAATTGCGATGTGTAGTATACACCCCTGTGAACCAAATGCTGGATAGAATTTTTCCTATTATTTTTACTCCTTTATAAAAGGAAAAATAAACCATTTTTTAAATGTATGTATATAACTCATCCACATTTACAATCCTCCATGTGTTATGTAGAAGGATTGAGTTAAAAAAAAACTATATATATACTGTGGGTTGGAAAGGGAAATTTAATCTTTGGGAAACTATTTTAGAAGATATGTTTGTAGAATTATTTTTTGAAAAAGATTTAAAGCAATAACAAGACGGAAGGAGAGAGGAGCAGAACATTTTAGTCTAGGGTGGTTTCTTTTCAATCCAATTTTTCTTGCTAATTTACAGTTAAACCTAGGGGCAATCGGATTGGCCCTCCCCCTTTGTAAATAACCCAGGAAATGTAATAAATTCATTATCTTAGGGTGATCAGCCCTGTCAATCAGACTTTGGGGAGATGGCGATTTGATTACAGACATTCAGGGCCTTTCAGTTTGTTTTCGAGATAATACAGTTTCCTGCTATCTGCCGCTCCTATCTAGAGGCAACACTTAGCAGTAATTGCTGTTGCTTGTTGTCAAAATTTGATCATTGTTAAAGGATTGCTGCAAATAAATACACTCTAATTTCAGTCAAAAACTGCTTTACGTGGCCTCTGATTTGCTCGGATCTCTTGCTCAGGGTCGTAACCTAATAGCCAGGGATGACTGCAGCAGCTCAGGGCGCGGGTGTCTCCGCGGGTCAGGCCCCCGGCTGGGGCTGGCTTCGCTGCTGCTGGTTAGCCTCCGCGAGGCTGTCGCAGCCCTAGGTGTTGGGGCTGCTGCAGCTTCCTTGGGTCACCCCATTTGTGTGGGTGGTGGAGGGAAAGAATCCACTGACAAAGCTCGTAGAGTCTGTGCGTTGGTCCACTTTGGCGAGCTGAGTGTGGAGCCGGGATTTGCGGACAAAGACAGGGTCCAGTGGCCAGAGCTGGGTTGTCTAGGCCCGGAAGGAAAGCGGTAGCAGGTTACCAAACGGCCCTGGCCCCTGCGGACCGGGTGACGGATTTCTAGGCCGGGCAGCGCGGGCAGCCGAAGTCGTTTCCTTTTCCGACTTGCCTGGTTCAACTTTTTGGAACGCGATAGCTAGTGGAGACCTGCGGCCCACCGCGGGCTTTTCAGGGGGGCGTTTCTCGAGGCCCGGGCCCAGCCGAGTTGCGCTCGGTCCGACGCCGGCCTCGGGACGCCGCTCCCCGACTGAACGCTTCTCAGCGAATTAGCTGTAATTACCCGCCGCGGCCAAGGCCCGGCCTGTTTGTGTTTGCAGCTCCTTCCTCCCTTCGTGTCGCCCCTGCCCCGCCCCACTCCGTGGCTTCTCGCAGCCTCCTCGGGAAATAAGTAGTTTGGGGAGAAAACAAGAGTCCAAGGAGACCTTGGTTAAGTGCATGGATTGGGACGTGGGTGCCGGGAAGACAGCGCTGATGAGAAGGTGGCAAAGGGGAGGGTGTGCGTGAAGGGGACTTGAGCCCTTGCCGCCGGGCCCGGGGAGCCGCGGGAAGGCAGCGGGCTCAGCTCCTCACCCTCGCGCTGCCTGGACGCACACAGCTTTCGGTTTACACTCCTCACCGCCTTTGTTTTGAAGACACACGTGTGTTTAGGAGCTCAGCCGGGGTGGAAAGGTCACAGGCACTCTATTGCTCCCAGGTGACAGCAGCCACAGGTTTGCAGGAGGACCCCCAGCCCGCGCCCCTAGGTCTGCCGGCGCCGACTTGCCCCGTCCAGCGCTGGGGCCCCAGGCGGCCTCTCCGGCAGGGCTATGTCCCCGCGGTGTGTGAGGTCGGTTGACGGAGGCCACAAATCACTTGGCAATGGCCGGGGCGGGAGTCACTCTGTCTAAAGGACGCGCGAGGCGTGCAGGCAGTCAGTGGGTTCGGAGGGTCCAGGGTCCAGGTAACCGCGACACTCTGCGTGTCCTAGGACCTCGGATTTTGGGCCCCCGGACGTCGCAGCCGCAGCTAGCCTCGGGCATAGGCCCAACCTGGCCCTGGAGAGCTAGACCGCGCCGCTCCGAGGGGTGGGCCGCGTGATAGAGAAGCAGGCGCGCGAGGACTGGGCGGCCGTGGTGCCCCGAAGGAGCGCACGCGGCCTGAGCTGCATCGCTGCACTGGCTGAGCTCTTTCTGGTGCCGCCAGGATGCGGAGTGGGCTGCGGATGCCCCTTGCTTCTCCTTCCTGCGTCCAGAGTCCCTGCGGCTGGAGAAGCAAACGGGTATGAGTGCAGTGCTCCGGCTTCTGGAGGGCCGGTGAGGACGGCAGCTCCTGACGGTGTTTATGCACTTGCCGGGGAAGGCTTCTTAGCAATCATTTTTGCTCCCTTTGATTCCAACGCTTGAAAATTAGTCATGGTCAGGAAGGTGTTTGTGTTGTACGTATATAGCAAAGATACTTATTTCTACACGAGGTGCCTACACAATAGTTCAGAAGCTATGTTTGAGTGGAAGGTCCAAAATTCTATTCATTCCGTCTTATTTTTAAAACCACATATGTAATGTTTTCTACTATCAATACATTTGCATTTGGATTCTCATAACCAATTTAAGAAAAAATAACTCCTACCAACCTTACTTAATCTGGGAGGACTACGTACTCCTTAGTGGTTTGCACGTCTGATTTGTACTTTTTCAGTAATAAGGATAATTTTCTGTAAAATATTCTAAGAAAACTCCTTGATATTTTAACTAATAGACAGTACATTTTGAAATTAGCTTGCAACACCTAGCAGGACCCATTGGTGGGGACTTGGCTAATTTTGACATTTGCCTCTGTGGAAAGCTTTAGGATAGTATTTTGTCCTTTATGTATCAGTGGGCACATTTATTTTCTTGGCATTTTATACCATGAGCATGTAAATGCCAGCATGTTACATGCCACCTGAAAACTGGCATTTGGCATATTACACGTATGGTAGGAATGCAAGCCGTCTCCAGGGTTGTGTAGTCAGCAGGCCCTTTTCACCAGACTTCATGCAAACAAGCATGCATTTTACGATTTATCATTCCACACAGTTTGTGTCATTAATAATCGATGTTTGCAGAGGAATAAGGCTCGATTGTGCTGGTGGCCCATAAGCTCTTGGCTGTTTCCTGCGGGGTCAGAAACAAGGGTCAGGAAACAAGCGTGCCTTATAGCATGGGCTCCCCTGAACTTTGATAGGTGAAGAAGGGACATAAGACCGTTTCTTTCCCACCCAGTTCCCTAGAGAGCAGTCTCAGTTTTTAAGGTGGAGGGCCATTCGTTTTGTTCTTAATGGTGCAAAACCCCACAGAGGCCCTGAACCCTCTGCTGGCTCAGGCTGCCTGGCCAGGCTGCCCAGGAGGAACCAGAGGCATCCGTAGTGGACCCAGGCCCTGGATACCTGTGTTTTCCCCAGCTGGTAGTGGCATCCACAGCAAGGCTTGTTGGAGTGACAATTTCTACCTCCAGACCACATCTTGGGAGTTCCTGGGGAGGGGTCCCATTTGCTTCTGAGCCCAGTTCCCACTCCTGGATCCTGCCTGGTGTCGCAGGGCCTTCTCTTTAGACTCCTCTCAACTCATTTCAGAGCCAGTTCATGAAGCCATTAGCCCTTCCCACCCAGTCATAAACAAATGTCGCGTTAGGGGCAAGATTGATGGTGGCCCTGTAATAAAGCTGGCCAGGCAGGTCAGAATATGATTCTGCATGGGCAGTCATTCTTCAGCCAAGCAGGGAACTTTGTGGGGAGGCAGGGAGAAAACAGACCAAGAGACTTTGTCAGACTGCTCACCCCACCAAGTTGTGGGGAGTAGGGGAGCAGAGGGCAGGCAAACCTTAAGCTCAGTAGAGCTTCCAACAAGAAAAGCCTAATTTATTCAGAAAATGGCCACAAGGCATGAAAAAGCCCACTGAGATTTGCTATGGGACCCTAAAACCCAGCTTCAGAAACCCCATTTTCCTGAAAGCCCCTATTTCAATTTATAACAAGGCCAAGAGATTCCTTGTAAAGAGATTTTTAAATGGCCTTCCTTTACTATTTGAGCTCTATATTCATAACTGGAACTTTTGAGGCCTGATTCCCCCTTTACTCCATCCCCCCTTTTTGAGTGTAAATCCAAAATAATCATTAAGTTCTGTATCTTTTTCTGTCTCTATCCCTCTGTCCCTCTTTGTCTCTCACTTTTTCTTACCCCTCTTTCTCCCAGGCCCCCAAAGAAGGCCTTGAGGCCCTGAAGTTTCTCCCAGATGTCCCCACTTGGGTTGGGCTGCTTCCCTGGTGGCCTGCAGGCCCAGGGGCTGAGCCCTTTGGGGGAAGGGCCGGATGCAGGGGACCAGAGCTTACTCCCAGGCCTCCAGGGCCACAAGGGAGCAGGACTGGCAGATTCCAGGCCCCAGTCAGGTTGTGAAAGGAATAATACTTAATTAAATGAATTCCAGCGCCAAAATCCACTCAGGAGAATGAAAGCCGCTTCTCCACGACGTTCTAAACATCATTAATAGTGGAAAATTGAGCAAAATGTACCATGTCCACCTTATTGGAAACCAAAATACGGCATTGAGAGCATAAGGCCTGACTTAGGACCTTTGTTGTGCTCCTTTCCCATCTTACCTTGGCTCCAAAGAAACCCTCTGTTTTATATTATTTTTTTGTTGTTTACTTGATTTTTTCCTTCACTGATTTTAAATTTGCAGCATATTGAGCGTATTATAGGAGATGCAGTAGGATCTGGAATTTCCTTGCATATTAGGTCGGGGTCTTCCAGGCAAGAGAAGAGGGCGGAGCTTCTACTGGAAATACAGCCCTAGAGGAAAAGCCCGGTCTGAGTGGTCCTGAGAGGGCCTGGCATGGCTTCCAGCTCAGAATCTCCTCACCTGGGGTTGGGAGGTTGACCCCAAAAGCCTGAGTGTTGCTTTCCCAGGTCTCTTGCTCTTCCAGGTGGCGCCTCTCTTTGCTCTCCCAAAGAGCACCTTCTTTCTCTGGTTGTCCTTGGGTTCTTCTATGCCCGACAGTCAGCACTGCTGGTCATTTGAACTAAATGGTCTACCCTCTTCTAGCTGTCTTTGCATGTCGCTCCCAGGGAGACTGGGTGGGCTGCTTATTTGTCCCCTAAGTCAACACAGCTTGGTGCTACTTGGGTTGGCATGGGAGTGCAATTTGTGAGCCCAGGGAGAGAGCAGTAGGTAGGTAGCCTAGGCCAGGCAGTGGAGCCTCTCCATTGACCTAGGTGGTGAGACCCCAGGGAGGGCCTAGGGACTTAGGAGGGGGCTCTAGTGAGGAGTTCTTTGGGGACTCAGAACTTGAGGCTGGGGAATGAAGGGGTTTGCTGTAGGGCTTTGAGGATGATTTGGATGGGGAGGAGAGGGAGAGGGAGAGGGAGAGGGGGAGGGAGAGGGAGAGAGGGAGGGAGGGAGAGAGGGAGAGAGGGAGAGAGAGAGATTCCCTCCTCCATTACCTACCCCAAAAGAAAAAGCAGGAAAACCAACATTCAGCGCCATGAACTCTTAAGACCTCTGCATTTCCTTCAGCATAAAAGCAGGTCATTGGTCCTGGTGGCTGGGCCCCGGTCCTGTTAGTGGCTACAGATGTGAAACTGGACAGGGGAGCACGTGTTTAGGCGGCCATCAGATTCTTTAAAATCGGCCAGTG